CTTACTGTGAGTCACCAACCTTCATTCTAGAGAGGGTCCTGCTCCATACCCTGGAGAAAGGACACTGCATAGAGAGTCTAAGAGGAATCTGAACAAACAGGCTTTGCCAGATTTCGATCATACCCTTTTGTCCAATTACATTTTGACATGGTTGTCCATGCTTCAACCATGCCTATCCAATGAAGTCTACAGAAAACCCAAAGGGACAGTTTGCCCAGCTTCTGGATGACTGAACACATGGAGGGTCCTGGAGGGTGGCACACCCATGGAGGGCATGGAATCTCCATGCCACTTCCTCTATACCTCACCCTAGGCGTCTCTTTATCTGTATCCTATGTCCTATCCTGTATAGTAAACCAGTAAACATCAATATTTCTCTGAGTTCTGTGAGCCTCCCTTGCAAATTAATCAAACTCGAGGAGGGGATTGTGAGAACTCTGATTTATAGCCAATTGATCAGAAGGCCTGGATTTGTGACTGGTGTTTGCAGAGGGGCAGGCAGTTTTGGGGACTGAGCTCTCAACCTGTGGGATCTGACACCATCTCCAGTGTCAGATATTATAGATAGATATTATAGATACATAGTCAGAATGGAATTAGGGGACACCCAGCTGGTGTCCACTGCAGAACTAATTGCTTGTTTGTGGGAAAAACACCCACACATTTGGCTACAGATATCTTCTGTGTTGATTATTGTCTTGGTATGAGAGCAGAAGAAAAATAGAGTTTTTAAAAAAAATAAATACTGTTACAATGCAAATGTACAGCACATCTATTTCTCCCTACTTATTAAATAGTGCAAAATTAATTTTCTAGTGGGACGACTTAGCATTGCTGTTTATGAAAATAATTTGATGCAAATCAGTAGGCATGCCCTGGGCTTTTCATTGTTTGCAGCATGAGGACTGGAGTAGTGCTCTGAGGGGATCAGGAGCAGAATATTAATGGGGAGAGGGCACTGAACCTGTGACTTCAAGATTTTCTCCACTGAGGGTGCTAATTTTTGGGGAAAGCTATCAGGTAAACATGAGTTATAGTTCAATAAACACCATGGCTGAGCAATTCAGGATGACATATAAAAGACCCAGCCCAGATCAGGAGGCCAGGTGGACTGGGGATAGCGATGAAGGTAAGATTCACCATCCTTAAGGAACTAAAGTCTGTGTAGCAAGATGCTGGAGTTGGGTGGGCTTCGTGCAAAGTGAACTAAAGATTCACTTGAGTTTGGAATGTGGGTTTGGTAAAAGCAAAGTCTCACAAATGAATAGAGCTAGATCAAATTGAAATGTAAATGGTAAATAAGTAAAAGTGTTGGTTCAAAGAGTTGAGAGCCAACAAGTGTTGGAATACACTTTGGAATCGAAAACAGGTAACCACCTTGGCTTTCATTACTCATTCTCAGTGGAGACATGGCAGCAGGAGTATGTCCTTTTAGAGGAACCACAAACAGGTAGAACTAGAGAAAGCAGAATTGGAATCAAGTGTCAGGAAAAAAAAGTCTCCGCTAGTATAGCAGTTGCTGTCAGTGATGTGTTCATACTCTGTTTGATCCCTTTACCATTTCCTTGTGCTTTGTGTCCCAGCTCTGTCTCTTTGTGGGGGCTACTTTCAAGCACCAGAGCTTGCTTTGCCCATTCTTAAAAAGAGACAGAAGGACCTGGGAATATATATCGTCTCCCACACCCCCAGCCCTTAGGAGGGAGGGTTTTCAAAGTGACTAATGTATGGAAGAGCATAAACACTCCAGTGCCTCCCTGTTAATTGCCTCTAGAGCTCTGGGGGATTAAACTAAAGGTTCGTCTTGTGGACCTCTGCTTGATACTGCCTTCCTGATAAATAACTTTTACAAAAATTCTCATCTCAAGAGTCTTTTTCTAAGGAATCCAACCTAGGACACCTAGCTTTTCAAAACTTTGGAAGTAATTCCTGGTTGTTGTAGGAGATCTGGTAGAGTTTTCTTAGCAGTTTTCCCTGAATTAGGCTTTACAATTAAAAAAATATATATTAATGATTTTATTGGTGTGCTGTCTGTGTTATAGGATCACCATCTGAATCACTGCGTATCAGTAAGGAAAATGATTTTAATGAATCTCCGAGCCTTTAGTGCTGACACTTTCTCTATGGTTATGGTATAACACAGAGCACCCACATCCACCAAAAGAAGCCTTGTACAGGCATCACTCCGTAAGGTGGCCTGGTTACCTGGCTCTGTCCGTGATGGGCATCAGCGTCTTCACCCAGGCAGGCTCACCAGAGAGGTTTGAAAACTTCAAAGTGAAGGTGACAATGATTTTCTGAGAACGACTGAGGAGAACTCTACCAGAGAATTGTAGACAGTTTACCATGAACACTTAGAGACAAAGAGCTTTTCCAGATAGACTGCAGATGCTGATAGTAGTTGCAGGTTTCTGTTTGTTAAGAGACTGTTGATCACCCTTGCCAAGAAGTCAACATCTTAATGTCAAGGTGTTCCTCAGTACTGGAAGAGGCCTGGAATTACACTGTTTAGGACTTTTACAGCCTTTGTGGAAGATCTGAGTTCTCTTTGGCAACTGTATTCTCCGTCAGAATTCAAGTTGGAAGAGAATACTCCTGTTAGATGCTGTGATAGTTAATTTTATGTGTCTATTTGGCTAGGCCATGGTAGTTTGGTCAAACACCAGTGTAGATGTTCCTGTGAAGGTATTTTTAAAATGCAATTAACATTTACATCAGTAGGCTTTGAGTAAAGCAGATTACTATTCATACTGTGAGTGGGCCTTATCCAATCAGTTGAAAGCCTTAAGAAGACTGATCTTCCCCAAAGAAGAAGGAATTCTGCCTCCAGGCTTCCTTTGGACTTAAGATTGCAACAATAACTCTTTTCTGAGTATCAGCCTGTTTCTCTATCCTGATGGTCTACCTTGCTGATTTTGGACTTGCCAGCCCCCATAATTGTGTGAATGTGAACCAATTTCCCCAATCCTCTGTGTATACACACACACACACACACACACACACACACACACACACACACACACACACACACACACACAC